AGAAGATGAATGCATTGTGCTGGGGCTGAGGTACACGGATGTCTAAGACTATAACCAAGACAAAGAGAAGAGTCAGAGGAAGATACTGGGAGAGTAGATATAAAGCCCACATGTAGTCAGCATCACAACGTACGCACTCCCGTGTTTGAACAGATGGACCAAAACCATCAGCACACTTCCCGCACAATGTTCCAGTCCTGTTAACTTCTCCACAGAGTGTTTTATCCAATTCGTCCGTTCTCCGTGGAAGTTTAATGAAAAGATTGTTTGAAGTAGAGTCAAAGTAAGGGGTGCTACTAGCAACCACTTTTGAAACATTATGATAAGTGTACAAGCCAATCCAGTTTCCCCGCTGAATTTTGGTGTGGAAATCAATTGCATTGCATTCAAGTATTCCGTTAAAACTACCCCTGCACTGACAAGAAGGTTCATCACCCACTGTTACCATTCCCGGGGGACATGGGAAAACAGTGACATTCATTATGACATGAACTACCCGTGGATCGATTGTTTCCAGTAGAATTTTTCCGTTGTTCTCACGGCCATTCCTTGTATGCAGCTCAATGTGGTTGTCAGAAATGTACTTGGTGCTGGAGTCAACTTCTATTGTGCCTTCTGAAAGGGACTTGGCAAGAAAAACACTTGAGCCTGTCACATCAGTCCTGCGGTCGTCCAACATTTTTAGATGCATTGAGCGGCGCTCTCCGGGAAACGTATCAATTGTAAAGTTATTCATTGACTCAAATACGGCCGGTGATGTACGAATTTCCATAGTGCAGTTCCCATCACCATAATCCCAATTTTTCGACCAACAGAAAACTTTTGAGAAATCATCAGATGCATTTCCAAAGGAGCCTCCCCACTGGCAAATTAGGAGAGAAGTTGCAAAGATGGATTCATTGCGTTTATTTGCGCGGTTTCCTGAGAAGAAAAAGGACGAGTTCCATTGATCCGGTGTGACAGAGATGTTGAAATATCTAATGAAGCAGTTTCTTGAGTTAATGAGATCATGCTCACCGATTGAAGTTTCATAGATTGCTCCACCTGCAATTAATGCTGAGTTATTGACAAACACCAGTTTACTCAGAGGATGTGTTTCAATGAATGCTGCACCAAGTAATGCGATGGCTCCACCATGTCGACCCATGTTCTTTCTGAAAGTTACGGATGAGTTTGTCATGATATGGATTCCAGTGGAGATGGCAGCAAGCGCAGAGTGGGTATTATTCAGAAAAAAATTGTAACCCATGAAATACACAGGGATGGAATCGATGTAGAGCGCACCAATTCCGACAACTGTGCTCTGTTCCGTTGTGTACACACCACAGTTTTTCTTAAAAGTACAACTGGTGAAATAGACTCTAGCAGTGGCCCCATATGGAACAGAGTGCCATACTGACAAATCAGCTCCAGAACCAGCTCTTGCAATATTCTCTTCCCATGTCGTGTTGTGAAAAACCAGAGAATTAGTAGGGCTGCTCTCAGTAGGCTCTCTTGCTGCATAAAACGAGAGTCCGCCTCCAAAATAGGCAGAGTTACGAGAAAAGTGGCAATTCTCAAAAACAATGGAGTTTGATTTCACATGTGTGTCATTAAAGAAAAGATACCCAATTCTAGTACCGCCACCACCTGTCCCCTGACTACTACTTTCTTTGAACAAACACTCATTTCCTGATAAGGCCGAGTTGCTTACAGAGACACTATTGTTATTACTCCAATCCTGCATCTCCACAAACAGCCCAGCTCCCCATAATGCAGTGTTGTTTGAAAATTCACAGTTTTCAATATTCACAGAGTTGTTTGTTGCATTTCCTTTGAAAAACATTGACAACCCGCCCCCTCTGCCAAATGCCAGATGGTTCCATTTCTGCGGCAGAATATATGTGAATTGAGTTTCGTCTGCTACACTTGCAAAGTTATCAGAGAAGAGGCAATGAGATATGGTGTAAGTTGAATCTCTTGTGTAATCATCAGGAATATTAGAGGGGCCATTGAAGCAAGAGGTGTTGCCAGGATAGCAATAGGCAAACTCAATGTACACACCACCACCTCCACTGGTCTCTGCACCTCCACTGATAGTCTCTGAGTCATTCAATGTAAGGGGTTTGTTTGAGGTGAAGTTTGAGTTTGTGATTGTGTTGACGCCAACTGCGCTGTACATAACCACACCAGTTCCTTCAGTCTCCTGTACTGTGACATGGGAGATGGTGACTGTATGACAGAGAAGGAAATAGAGAGTACTTGTGACCTCCTGGAAGCAGGGGTCATCTGAAGAGAAATCTTTGCTGGTGCTGTTATTAGGAAAACCACAGCCAGTAATCACAAAATTCTCTAGTTTTATTCCATCAGATTTGATAAAGGAGAGCCCAGCACCTTTCTCACATTCAATCTCAACACAAGGTCCAGCAGTGCTGCAGTTCCCAGTGATAGCAAAACCTCCAGTTCTCTCTTTTATCACAGTCAGCCGTGAGTCATTGGTCAAGGTGTAATTCCCTTCACTGACAATCAGAGACACTGGTGTTGTCAGGGAGATGTTCTGGACACACTCCAGAGCAAGAGTGAGGGTTTTGCAAGGACTTGTAGCGCTCTCTGAGCTACTGGGACAACAGCTGATGTTAGAGATGCCATGTTGTTCATCTACATTGATAACAGTTCCAGCTACCAGCTGGGAGATCAGAACAGCAGCCAGTATGAGCTTTAACAGCACCCACATTATACTCTGGCTTTCAAATTTCTCTCTCTCTCTCTCAGTGTCCGCAACAGCACCAATAACTGTTAGTGAGAAAATGTAGTTCATTGTTCAAGATTCATTGCGCGCTTCTAGTCCGCATGCTCAGCAGATACTCAGTTTTAGGTAAATATTATCGTAACATTAGTGTGTTAGAAAGAATGATAATGAAAGTTGGGGGGATGCAGAATGGGGGTAATAGTGCACAAACATCCTTGCTACTAGGGAATTCCCCCTTCTAACGGGAGAAGACAATTTTGCAAGACTTCCCACAACCTCAGCATAATATTAGCACAGGCCCGCTTACAGATGTGTGCTTTCCATGCTTCCACTCAGGAAGGCACGGCTTTGCAAGGCTCTGCTGCTAACAGCAGACAAGGACCTGGCATGTGGGCTCTTAGTCATGGACACGTTGGTTAAACTTGCATAGCAATCGGGCACGAAAGCGTGTTTCAGTCATACATCCACGTGAGCCTATAGCTACACCCGTGTGTCTAAAACGCTGTGTGAAACACAAACGTCTACCCTGGGCTAAACTCACAGTGGATGAATGGAAAAAAAACGGGTTCACCTACGCAGCTTTCCTCCCTGCCCTCTTTCTACATTACTACAAAAACACCACAAAGTACGCACACACGGATGAGAACTTGTCTCGTCCCGCCATAGCGAGAATAGATGAGAGCTAGACACCTCACGTATCTAGACCTGTGCCCCGCCTATCAACTTTTTACCGCCAAAAACCGACCACTTGTTGTCCTTTTACAACATTAAAAAACTCACACAATTACCGTAAATACCTTTCACTTGTTTCCCACACTCTGTTTCCCGGGCTGTGTCTATATATCTGCACCTGATTTCCCTTAGGCCGGCCCTAGCCTATTGTTGATCCTTTGCATTTGCGCATGCGCACATAGCCCCCGCCCCCATACTACAGATGGTGTCTTCATCATAATAATATCCAGCGATCATGACGGCGAGACTTCTCAAGCAGATCCAGCGGGCCAAGTCCGCCGAAGTGAGTGACAAGACGCTCCAATATCAACGATATCTTTTCTTTGGTTCCCCCGCGTACGGCTTTACCCTGGCGTCTCTGCGGCGGCCCGTAGCCAGCTATACCTACTTTCGCCATAAACAATCGTATTTTTTAAAAACTACATCTATGGTTGATTTGGTAGGGGAAAATCCGGTATGTAGATCTATTCTTCGTAGAGAGCAGTCGAGCAGTTCATCTCTGTGTTTTTGTTTCTGGGAGAATTCCCAGGGTAGTCCCCCTGTGTGTTGGTGAGCACAAAAGAAATAGGACTGTAATATTCCCATCAGCATGATCATCTACAGTAACTTTCCTTTGCAATATCTTTGTTGTGGGGAAGGACTGGTTTTTCACTGCAGGATAACAAATCAATGATATCTTGTCTTTCCCCCGCGTACGGCTTTACCCCCTTCGGGCGTGTCTGAGGCGTTGCGTTGCGTTAGGCCCGTAGCTACCTAGCTATAAATGTACCTAACTCTCATCGTAGTTTTTGTTATAAACTACAACTATCGTTGATTTGGTAGGGAAAAATCCGGTGTGTAGATCTATTCTTCGTAGAGAGCAGTCGAGCAGTTCATCTCTGTGTTTTTGTTTCTGGGAGAATTCCCAGGGTAGTCCCCCCCTGTGTATTGGTGAGCACAAATCAGCATGATCATCTACAGTAACTTTCCTTCGCAATATCTTTGTTGTGGGGAAGGACTGGTTTTTCACTGCAGGAAACGATTCATTTGTTAATGATAAAAGAATCAACTCTTGTTGCAGAAAGTCCAGAAGTTTCTAAAGGAGCTGCCAGACCACAACGAGGCCAATGAAAATGGAGACACTCTGCTGCATGCATTTGTTCGACGGAGAGATAAGTACAGTCAGGATTGCTTGTTGGCTCTCCTGGTCTACGGACAGTGTGACGTGGACGGGGGTAATCACCAGGGGTTTACCCCTCTCCACATTGCTGCAGAGGTCTGCATAGCTACACCTCATTTCTATAGCATTGTTTGGTTAAAGTGTGCATTGCCTGGTCAAGTGTGCATTGCTTGGTCAAGTGTGCATGAAGCACATGGCTACAGTTTACTCACATGGGTTTACTCACATGATCCTCTGTCATATCAGGTTACACATTCGTCCTCCCTGTACATGCACTTATGGAGTTGCTAATGGTGCACTTTCCAGGTTTTACTTGAAAGGCTTTATTAGCTGCATTACCATGTTGCAGTAGCCTTGATCACAGACCTTGTCTGCTTTTTCTATATGTTGACTCTGTGCGTATGTCTTTTCTACACACCCCATATACCCACAGTTGAATGACCTGCCAGCAGCCAAAGCACTGGTGGCCTTTGGTTGCGAGGTAAACAGTCTGAATCCCGACGACGAGACTCCTCTGGACATAGCCAGACGCTGCTATCCTGATGGAGACATTGTCACTCTTCTCGTCAGTGTCGGAGGACAGACAGGTCGGTGAAATTCTCTGGAGACTTTGATCGATTTCAGAGAATGACAGTTACACATAATTATAATTATAGTCCGCGTCTCACTAGTGGGTGGATTGCTCTGGCGTAACAGTATCTTTTTTCAAGTATATCAGCTTTAGTGCTTTACCGGATAAGCTGCATAATACAATTGCATACAGGAATTCCTGCCATTGTTTTATATATCCTGCCAAGAATGTATTGGCATTGCACAGCAGTTGATGATACTATAAGTATGCTATGCCCCCTCTGTCATTTGGCATGTGTTTATGTTTACAAGTGGAAAAATCATTTCTTCAAAATGAAGGGGGATGTAGGGATGGCGTAAATTATGAAAAAGGATGCCAACAAGATGTTTCAGCCGACAACAAAAATCATACATCCATCCCTACATCTTTCTTTCTTTTGCTCTGTCTAAGAATGTGTAGCTAGGCACTCGTTATTGGGAGTAAAAGGGATTAATTCATAACAAAACACAGTTGAGGTTGTGAGTTAAAGAAAGATGTAGGGATGGATGTATGATTTTTGTTGTCGGCTGAAACATCTTGTTGGCATCCTTTTTCATAATTTACGCCATCCCTACATCCCCCTTCATTTTGAAGAAATGATTTTTTCCACTTGTTCCACTTACTTTTGTAGCACATGATCAGCCCCACCCTTTTCACGGAGCAGAGCAGAGAGTGAGGAGCAGCAGGGTTCACACCCGTGTGTGTGGAGATTTATGCACTGCAGATTTGTGTGATTTGAAGATTTGATCTCACACACACTCGCAGTGCATTATGGGGGCAGGGGCGATGTCCGTAACGTTGTTTGCAATTTTTGCACGATAGACTAGTGGGCGCATGCGCAAGTACAAAACTAACCCAACATTCATTGTACAATATGCTTTGTTGTGAATTGTGAAGGAACGTTTTTTCTTTAGGAGAGGTCTATTCCAGCTGAAGTGAAAGGTATAGAGACCAAATCAGGGGTATATAGCTAGTAGCAAGCAGGCAGTAGGAGCCAGAAGTTTGCAGGGTTCAGGGTCTAGCTTGAGAGTGCAGTTGCAGTCCAACTCCTATATAGATAGAGATAGTATGCACCATCAAGTGAAACACAAAGCATAATACAGAGGAGTAGACAGACAATGTATGAGTAGGCTTACAATAGTACAACAAACGCTAGGTCAGAAGTGGTATATATAAGGGTGCAGGAATGTATATACAAGTCAGCAGTGGTGATAAGGGGTAGGAAAACACTTCAGAGCCCCACCTGCCCAGCAACTCACAGATAATCTTATAAGTATAGGTTAACACCTGGTTCTGAAGCTGTACAGGCTATATCCTGAAGCTGTTTACTCTAGCAGTAAACAGCTGAGGGGATATCTGCTGAAGTTAACCAATTTGTAGCCTAGCAACCGTACTAATTGCCTAGCAAGCATATCATTTTACCGCGGTTGTGAGAGAAATCGGTGGGCGAGACGAGGGAAAGGAGGCCGAGAGCATGCTTGCGTGAGCCCATGCTGCCTGTTGACCGTTTGTTCGAGCGATTACTACTTTAGCTAGCGGTGTAGCGTGCAATTGTAGCGGGCTGCTGTAGCGCGGACCAAGCAGAGAAGACAAGACGCTACAGCTCAGCTATGGTGCAGCTAAGCCTGACATTTTGAACAGCGTGTTCAAAATGTCACAAGTGGCGCACGGCACACAGCCCTCTCGCTCCAGCTCTCGCCCTTTTCTGGCTTGCGCGCGCATCTTCTCGCTTACTGGCTCGCCACTTTTCCCTTGCGTGCCAGCTTGGGATGTAGCCACAGCCATCTACAGCTTACCAAAAAAGGTCACTGCCCATTGTTTGCTCATTAGATCGGTGTGTAAAGGAGAGGGAGATGTGCTCAAAGCAGACAGAAAGCTGTCTTGTGGAAAAAGAAAATCAAGATATTAGTTATGTTGATCAACATTTTGTGTACAGATCATGTTTTGCGGGATACATTTCCTACATGAAATGCTGTTAAACTTGTTGAAAATCAACAGAAAAAAACAAGGTTTCATATCATGTTTTCATGTTACTTTTGTTAGCTCACGAGGTTCATATGAGAAATCAGGAACCTCGTACTAACAAATCTGATTGGTCGATTCGAATCAGCTATGCACTAATTATGATAGAGACAAATAAACTGTACTAACTAGGTAAAGCTAATACCCAGAGTGATAAAACTTCGTACACATATACAACCCATCATTAGTAACAAAATGTAAACATTACAATTTTGTAAACACAACAAACAGCCTCAGGCAAATAAATGGTGCTTGTGCCGCTAACTTGCTTATGGTTGGTCCTCTAACAATGAAACTTGGTACAGTGATTCACCATGATAAAGAAAAAAACAGAAATTAGCTATATACAAGGTTGTAAACAACAACAAACAGCCTCAGGCAAAAAAGACTTAATGGTGTAAGTGCCTATAAATTGCTTATGATGGGTCCTCTCACATGAAACTTGGTGCACCGATGTAGCTAATGTGAATGACGACAAAACGTCTGAGGCGATAGCTTAAGGCCACTAATGTTACTTGTTTTATGGGCTTATGCCCAAAAATTGCGCACCATGCATGTGAATGCAGTAAAAAAGGAAAGGAGACAAGTAAATAAAACAATTCTTCGGATTAAAAAAAGTTTGGAATATAGGGGTGCCATGATAAGCAAGGAGACAAGACAGGGACCTAGTGACTAGTACAATGGATGATGGGCTACATACTTTAAACTGACATCGCTTGCTCGTGTAAAATGTCCTCCACACAAGCCCTATATTGTCGCCACCTCTACTGTTTGTTTAGTGAAGTGCGAGGACAATGGTGGACCAGAAAACCTTTAATGTCACTCATGAATTTCCTTACTGGAGCTGCGTAAAACAAGTGGGGTGGTGTGGCCCTTAGTCTGCCCAAGTTTGGTGCAGCTAGTAACTCGACAGTTACCAACACAATCAGAGCTTAGGAATGGAGAATCTAACAGACAATCTTCTGTTTGCTGCGTATGTGCAGCTTCGCGTGTCCGATCTTACACACGGAGGCAGCTCAATACTACGCGGATTATGCGGAAATACTATAGGTGAAGCCTCTTAGTGCAGGTTGGAGGGCTTGAACTCCACTTTTATATACTGGATAATATTACAGAAACCTTCGTGATGAAGGGAGATTTGCAATATCGGCAGTCGACCTTTTCGACGCGGCAACGAAAGCACGTCAATCCAAACCTGATACGAAGGATTATCGTTTGAAACACTACATCCTAGATATAAATGATATTTTATTGTATGCTCTGGAGGCCTGTCCGATTATACATGGTGTCCGATCTTTGATGAGTTACTCTATTAGGCCGCATGCTATCTACTACTGTAGGTAGTCCGTGTCAGACTCTACGCGAGCTACTAGCGTGGAGACGAATAAAAAAGCCCAGCCCATCGATTAGTGGTACCGCGCGTGCGCAGTTCGCCGAGGGTTTGCACTTCAGTACGTATCGGAGTGACTAAGTTTAGCTATCAGTCGGTACCTGCAGTCACTGGAACAAAATCTGCTGAAATGTGGACTACACTTCTTTTTGCAGGTGCAGCTCTGCTTGCAGCAGTAACATCTCCGGCTGCAAGTAACCCAACCTTTCAAGAGACCGGAGATTGCGAGGTGATTAATGTCCACCAATGTAAGCACCGTAGGTGCTGGTGCAGACAGCTTTCATCACCGGGTTATCTCAGATTACACATCCCACTCCCGGTAGACTTATCCTTTTTACTGTGTTCATTTCGACAGGCAACGCACGAGAACCTGTACAAGTACACTGCCAATGAGGAATACTTCGGAGACGAATATGCTCAAACCTTTGGGATAACCATGTACTTCAAAGTTTACTGCTTATCTGGTATGAATTTGTATGTGATGCAA